ATTCAGCTGGGCAGTCCCATGCAAGGTGGCACCCTGAAGAAGCCAGACCCCGGACCTGCCACAAGCTGTGCCCCTGCCCACCTCCCCTGGTAACCCTGAGCGCCCCCATCCCACCCCCGCCGACGGGCCCTGTAGGAGCAGGAAGGGGTTACTCAGGAGCCCTTCTCCCGGGATGCCAGAGACCACGCTGGGTGGGGAAGATGAGATTTCCACTAAATTGGGAGCCAGGATCACTCCCTGCAGGAAGGAAGTTGCTTATCTAAAACCCCTGGCTGCTCAGCGGCAAGGGGTCCTGTGGACAGAGATAAGAAGTCATTTCTCTAACTAGCAAAAAACAAACATTCCAGTCTATTTCTAAATCCCAAATGTATGTTGCTGGCCCACAACAACGGTTAATTTGCCTTTGTTAATTGCCTGTCTTTTAAAGGGTTCTAATCCTGGTCTAACAAGTAGAACTTAATCCCAAATTGGCTAACCAAACCTGTCCTCTTGGCCCCAGCCAAGAACTTCTGTGAAGGCCCCACAGGCCTGCTCCCACCAATGTGCTCACCTCTGGCGGATCGCACGCATGACGTGGTGGGAACCTTCACCCTGGTAAAGCCACGTGTGGTGGCTGTTCCGCACCAGCTCGCTGGATGCCACCTTGTGGCCCTTCATGTACTTGTGGAAGTCCCGAAGGTCCATGTCGGAGAACTCCTGCAGGCTCAGCACTCCTGCGCAGGGCACCCATCGTCAATGCCCCCCAAGCCCATGTGAGGAGCCCACAGTGGCAGACTGCACCAGCCTCCCTCCCCCTGGCGTAGGGGGCCTCGGCCACTGGGGCCCACGTGCACCTGTCCCCCAGGCTGGACTCTTGGGTCAGATGAACCTGGCTTCTGTCACATCAGGCCCTCCAGGAAGACCCAGGGAAGTTCACTTCCTCAGTTTAAACCCGGACTTGGCCACCCAAAGGAAGAAGCCCAACCACTACAAGATTGGCCAGCGTTGGGTGGCCAAAGGAAGCTTGAACCATATGGCCAGGACCCCCCCAGGGACTGCCCTTGGCCCCCCAGCCTGGCTCTAAAGCATGTGCTGGCTACCCTCTGGTCCTATAGAGGGTGAAGAAAGTAGTCAGTCCTGGGTTCTGTCCAGAGCCTTCCATGCTATCGGGTTTCATTCAGGGCTAGTGCCCAGGAGCTCCCTTATGACCTCAGGTCCCGTCCTGAGTGGAATATATCTATCTACCTCGCCAGTCCTGCCTGCTGGGCTAGCAGTCTCCCTCAACAAAGAAAGCCGGGCCATTCTCCTAGACAAGAACGCTCCCTCCTGTTTCTGCCCAACCCACAAAGCAGGAGCTCCACTGGAAGCTGGTGTTCTGGAAGAGTAGCTCGTGTCCATCTATTGGTTGACTTAAGGGTGAAATATTTCTTTCTTATTCTTATTCTATCTTTTCTTTTCTTATTCTATCTTTTCTTTTCTTTCTTTTTTTAAGTAGGCTCCATGCCCAGCATGGAGCCCAGCGTGGGGCTTGAGCTCACAACCCTGATATCAAGACCTGAGCTGAGTACCTTCCCCATCTCACGCAGAACTTGGGCATGTGAGAGATGACTACACCTTAGTAACATCTAGGAGTTATTACCCAAGGGGGGTGGGGTCCTTGCGCGACAGCTCCCCTACCCAAACCACCCCCAGCAGTTAGCATGACTCTAGGAGAGCAAGAGGAAGGCAAGCAAGATCTTAGTTAGACCAGAAACTGTGTCTTCTGGGGAAGACCCTGTGCCTGGCTGGAGAGAAGTAGATGGAGCAGGGAGAATGGCCAAGTTCAAGCTGGCCTCACCAGACCTGTGCTCCTGCTAAAGCTACACTGGCCTCTGCCAGCCAGCAACTCCCCTCCTGGACCCCACACTCTGCCTGTTAAGGTCAAAAGGGCCTCCAAGAACTGTCCCCTAGACTGTCACCAAGGTATATGGGAGGACCCAGCCTCCTGCCCAGGAGTGAGGGCAAGGCTGCATCCTCGCCTTCCCATCAATGGCTACTCTAGAAGCTGGGTGTACGGGGGGCAGGAGGCTCACAGGGACAGACTGTGGCGAGGTATGAGCTCACCATCACCATCAGGGTCAGCCTTGATCGCAGAGTACATCTCCTGAATGTTCTCTGGAGTCATCCACCGTCCATTTCCCAGGCGAGTCTGGGCCAGGACCTAAAGCACAAGATGGTCCCTCAGTGGAGCGGCCCCAACGATGGATAGCCACCAGAGCATAGACAGTCACCCAGTTCTTGCTGTAAGGGCTAAGGGTGCCGGTGATGGGGTAATGGGTGAGGACACAGGGCAGAGCCTGAGGTCCCTGAGCTGAAGGGAAGGTAGGCAGAGAGGCCCAGAGGCATCTCGGGAGGTGGCCAGGAAGACAGCTAAGAGATCTGTGGGCCATAGGCATTCCCGGCCCCGTTGGGACTGTGGCCTTCATGGCCAGCACTGTCAGCTGGTTGGAGGCAGAGTGAAGCACAGGACTGTGACCCACTCAGATACTCCAGGTCAGAGGGGGGAGGCCAAGGCCTGGGTGCAAACAGGGAAGAGGCACCAAGGGGAGGCCCAGCCAGGTCATGATCACGAGGCTTGTCAAGAAGACCAGGCTCAGTGGGGCGAGAGACCCTCTGTATAGGCAAGGGACCCACCACCTTGCCAAGACCTCTGTCAGAAGCCTGGTGTGAGAGGCATATAAAAGAGATGCAGACTCCTGGCTGCCCTCAGACCTGCCACCCCCTCCATCATGAGTTCTGTGGGGCCCCCAGCCACGTCAGCAAGGAATCCAGACCATAGATGGCATTACCACCCAGGAACTGTGGTAATAAATGTCATCACCCCCAGGGGGATCCTCCCGCCACCTTCTGGGGTTCCCAAGGCAGCAAGGAGCTCTCCAGGGAAGGAGAAGGGGGCGGGGCTGGAACTGGGCAGGCCACCGGAAAGACAACTCTAGGCACTCCCACTCTGGGCCTACTCCAGGCCGCAGGATCCCAACCTCACGGAGCTGCAGGCGACCATCGTGGTTCTGGTCCAGCAGCCGGAAGAGGTCCAGCTGGTTGACCTGCATCGAGCCCATTGCTTCCTCGTATTCTTCAGTGGGCAGAATCTGGCTGCGCTGTAGCCCCTTCATCTGGGCCAGGTGGATGATGAGCCGACATTCCTCATCACTCAGGAAGCCAGGGATCTCTGCCAGAAGAGGAGGTGGGGGAGGCCACGGACTGAGCCAGGCCACTGGTGCAACCGGTGCCTTCCTCTTTGCAGTTCCTGCGGGACTCCTGTGCCCCGGCGCTCCCCGGGTCAGGACTTCACCTGCGGCTTTACCTCTGCTCTGCACTCTGACCCCAGAACTGAGTTGTCCCGCAAAGGTTGGCTAGCATTCGGAATGTGGGGTTTTTCTCTTTGATGCTGAGAGCAACCATTTCCTGGGGAGCCCTGGGAAGTTTGCTAGAGCTAAGCTGAGCAGGGGCTCCCCCCACCTCGGAGTGGGACCGAAGGCCAGAGGGTTGACCTCCACTTCTGATTGGGTACATACTTTAAAATGGGGTGACGGTAACTGGATTTTGCTTTCATTTTTGCTTTTCAGTATGGATCAAATAAAAACCAAGTGTAAAACATTCATTGTTGTAGGCCAGTCCTTGCCGTCCACTCTCCTGTACAAGTGGGCGCTGACCATCTGTCCAGGGCTGAGTTGCCCCGGGCTGGCATGTCCGTCAGTGGGCGTCTCTTAGGTTTTTGGCTCTGAGAAGATGCCCTTTGCTTAGGGTACAAGCGTACACTGAACATCATGCCTCTAAGTCCGAGTGCAGGCCAGGTGGGCTTGGGGCTCAGCTCCGGGGGCTGGATGCCCCCATGCCAGCTCTACAAGCAATTTGGTCACGCTGGAAAATGAGTCTCGCACCTGGGAAGCCCAATCCCAGTGGTCCCGGGCACTCATAGACAGGAGCATGGGCCCTGCTTCCTCCCCTCGTTCCCAGGAGAGAGGACTTCCTTAGATGGGGACCAAGAGGCCCACAGAGGAACAGACTGGAGGCAAGGCCCTGTGGCCACAGTGAGCCCTCAGAGCTGCAGAGCAGTCTACCACCTCTCTGGGTTATACTCCCAGCATTAAGTTCCAGGCATTGCCATGAGGAAGGAAAATGGCTGCTCAGAGCCAGGCCTGGAAGGGTTTTTAGTGTTTATCACAGCAGATCATACTTAGGTGGCATGGATTCTGCGTCCTGTCCTAAGCACGCCATCAACTCCTGAATTCCTACACTCACCCTAGAAAGCTGGACCCCTTCAATTTGCCTTTCTTGTCCCTGACACCCTGCAGGCACAGAGATGTGAGAGACTTGCCAGGGACCTCCCAGGCTGTCATACTCCAGAGTCCACGCTCAAGACCACATTCAGCTTCCCTGGATAGATGACCCAGATGCAATGACAAAGAGGGCAGGATAAAGGCCCCCACCCAGGCCTGCTTGACCTCCCAGCCCAGCAAACCCAAAAAGGGTGTGAGCCATCCACTACGGGGTGCAGGGGGGACACGCAGCTCTGGACAATGGGTTAGACCAAACTGCTAATCAACAGTCACCTCCAGGTAGCTTAAAAAATAAATAAACAAACAAGAAAAGTAAACCAGAAAAAGAAAAAACACAGGCCCAGGTTTCTTCAGTTTATTAAGTGCTGGTAACCCGCAGGCCCCAGGATGCCGCCAAAGTCTACAGTCCCCCCCGCGGTGTGCTAATCAGATGCAAATGGCCCAGGCCAGCACACTGGGGCCTAACCAGATGGGTCCCAGCACCCGGGACCTGCACAAACACCGGGACCTGCACAAACACCGGCTCCTGGGGTGTGGGGACAGACCTATAAAGGCCTCAGCCTCAGCCCATTAAGACCAAGGCAGACAAAGCGGGTGATGGATCAAGGACTGTGGCTGTTAGTGGCCCTGGTGGTGCTCTGGGCTGACAGTGGAGCAGGGGCTCCCCGAGGCCCCACACGGTGCATGCCCATTCCCCAAGCCATGGCCCTGTGCCACGACATTGGCTACACAGAGATGCGGCTGCCCAACTTGTTGAACCATGACACAGCGGCCGAGGCTCTCCAGCAGTCGGTCAGCTGGCTGCCCCTGCTGGCCAGGGAGTGCCACCCGGATGCCCGCCTCTTCCTCTGCTCCCTTTTTGCCCCTGTGTGCCTCGACAGGTAGGGCAGGGACTCCTAGGTGGGGCGGGGGGAGGGGCGCTTTCCTCCTCCAGGGCCTGTTCACTAACCATTGCTACGTACCTCTCAAGGCTGGGTGGCGACAGGGGTGGGGAGGGAAATGAAGGACTGTCTTGTCAGGGTGTTCCTGGCCCAGGGGAACAGGTGCCCATGGAACAGAGGAGACATAGGCAGGAGACCATCAATGGTGAGCACCCTTGGATTCAAGGGCTCTTGAATGTCAAGGTATGGCAAATGGATAGGATGCTTTGGGTTGGGAGGGCTGGAACCCCTCTCCAGGGAGGTGTGGAAACTGTCTGCCCATCTCCTGGCAAGGGATGGAGCTCATCTGAGGGCCTCTCCTCTGAGACCAGAGATCGCAAGGTTGATTCCCCAGCCTAACCTACCTGGTGAACAACAGCTCCTTCAGTCCCTCCTCTGGGGGACATTCCCAGAGCCTCAGGGTGACCATGCCAGTAGCACCAAGAAGGGGCTCTTTCAGAATCCAATGATTGGGCCTCTGCTCTTTGCGAACCCCAGCCCTGGCCAGACACTGCAGTCTCCCACACGCCTTTCATGACAAGAGGGAGGGCTCTGCTTTCTCCCTCCAAGATGGGGAGTTAAGGCCCAGAGTGCAGGGCCCTTTACATATGCCCTTCTCTAGTGCACTGGATGTCCGCCCCAGCTGGAGGGGGAGGTGCGCTGGAAAGCAGCCCTGGCCACACGAGGATGGTGGGGGCTGTAAGACTGAAGGGGGGGGGGGAGGGACGACGACATACGGGGGCGGAGGGCTGTTGCTAGGTGACCAGGTGTCGTTACCCAGCAACCGCAAAGTCCCTGGCTGTGCCTGAGTAGTGGGGGGCGGGGGGGAAGAGGGTGGTGATGGTGAGGAGTGGGGGGGCTAGCCCGGACTCCAGGAAACCCGGTCCTGAGCGCCCCGTCGCCCCGATCCTTCCATCCTTCCCACCTCCGCAGGGTCATCTACCCGTGTCGCAGCCTGTGTGAGGCCGTGCAGGCCAGCTGTGCGCCCATCATGGCCTGCTACGGCTACCCCTGGCCGGCCATCCTGCACTGCGGCCGCTTCCCCGCCAGCCACGGCCTCTGTGTCGCGGCTGTCTCCAACGGCTCCCGCCTGGGCCGCCCACGTGAGTCCCCCCATGGCTCCCAGGCCCGGCCCACGGGCAGCGCCTTACCCTCCCAAGCCACTGCCCGCAGAGCCAGAGGTACACGGGTTTCTCTGGTAGGGGAGACAAGGGACCAGCTACAGCAACGGGTCTCAGAAAGGGTGAAGAACGAGGGGCCAGTGGGAGGGGGCCCCCCCCTCGCTGCCGGCCCTTCCCCCACTTGCTCCGGAGCCTCACTTGGCCCCTCCCCCCAGTGCCTCGCGCCAGCTGCAGGGACTGTGAGTTGCAGGACGCCCGCTCGTCCAACGAGGTCCTGGACGCGCTCTGTGCAAGCGACTTTGGTGAGCCCCTAGCGTCCAGCGCCCCTTACACCCATGTCACAAATGCCTCCATCCCAGCTCCCAGATCGGTGTAAGACAAATGAAAGAGGGGACACTCAAATGCTCTACCTGGTTAGAGCTACAAGATAAATGCCTTTAACAAGTGTGGCATTGCTAAAACAACACACTGAACCTGCCTAGGAGGGTGGCAGCCAGGGCTTCAGGTCTTCCCCAGGACCCTGATTCAGAGTAGAGCATCCAAGAGGGTGTGGTTCACCAGGTGGAGAGGATGGGGGTACTCCCAGAGGCCCTGCGCCTCACCCCACTCCTCTGGTCCCATGCAGCAGTGAAGGTTAGGCTCTCCCGGTGCAACGGGTCGTCCTCTGGTCTCTCACACTGCCACCTGGACTCCCGGCTGGAGGTGCTGAAGGCGGGCCCACTGCCTGCCGAGGAACTGGCCCCTACTCTCCGTCGCTGGCTGCAGCTGGATGCCACGTGTGTGCACAACCTCTTGCGAGGAAGGCACGCTGGGACCTACGTGCTAGGTGGGGAGGTGCAGGGCCCTCGGCTGCTGGTAACCACGGCCTATGTTTGGAGCCAAGGCCACCGACATCTGCAGCTGGCCGTGCGTAGGTGGCACCATCACCGGTGCCCACGGTAGGGATTCCTACAGGCAGGGAGAGCCAGCCACACAAAAGCCGCGCTGCCCTGGACACACCTCAAACCCTCTCTGCTGCCCATCACGGACACTTGCAGACCAGAGTCCCGAGAAGCCCTGTGAAGGACCCAATCAGAGCAGAAGCCCACGGCTGTGGCCACAGCTAAGGGACTACAGCGCTCTGCCCAGACATGAAGGAGGCTGGCTCCCCTAGCAGGGGAGTGTTTGCTGGGTAGGCAAGACAACCTTTCTGTCCTTCTGTCCTTCCCAGGCCTGGGATGACAGCCTGGCTAATGCCTACAAGCCCTAGCAGCCCAGGCTGCCTCCGGGCAGGTGCAAAGCCTCAGGCTAAGCTCCTCCCGGGCAGGATGCTGCCTGTCAATCCCCACATAGACTTGGTTTTATCTGCCTGACCTTTACTGAGCCCATGGTCCCACCAAGCTGCAGGCCCGTGAGAGAGCACAGCGGGTGGGGAGAAGTCCATGCCGGAAACTGCCTTCAGCTGCTTACCAACCTGAACTTACACACACACACAGAGTTTTCCTCCTATTTCTGGGCGTTCAGTGTTTATGATCCTAAGTAACTGCCTAATTGTTTTCTTGAGCCGACTTGGAAATCCTACAATAAAGCAGTCATGGTTTTAAGATAAACTGTTTTGTGTACTGGTGTCAGTTATTCATCTACCTTAAGTAGTTAGGAAAATGGGCTAAAAATCTTGTTGGCCTTCGGGAAGCGACCCCTGCTGCTCTTGAAGGGAATGCCAAATCAGGGGGTACCTGCCAGGGTGGTGGGAGGTCACTCTGAGCAAACAGACAGGTGCTGGTCTGGCTGAGTGCCCAGTAAATCTCGCCAGCCAGCCAGTCGTGACTAGCAGCAGACAGACTCCAGCTGCTGACTACTAAGCCCGCACACATCAGGCCTCTCCCGCATGCAGCTCGCCTTTAGGGGTAGAGGTACGAATGACAAATAAATACCGAGACAGTCTCCAGGGTTGCTAAGCGCCAAGAAAACCAGGCAGTCTGATGCAATGGTATCTGGGAACCTCTTAAGACCAGTCTGAGGTCAGGAGAGGTCTCCGAGGAGGGAATGTGTGCGCACAGGCCCAGTGGACCAGAAGGCACCCTCTGTGGGATGGGCCAGGTCTGAGCCTTCTGGTGGAGGGCACAGCACGTGTAAGGTCCCAGGGCAGAATGAGCTTGGGGACAGCAGGGAGTGAGGAAGGGGCAGCAGGAGAGGAGGGCATCACCAAATGACAGAGGTGAAGTGGGAATCTTGGAGACTTTTAAGAAAGTGGGCAGTAAGACTGATCTGTTGTTTAGACACAGAATGGGGGTGAGGTGGGGTGGAGAGAGAGGTGAGCCACGTCAAAGGTGGCAATGTCCCCAGAGAGATGACAATGACTCAAAACTGGAACACCTCCCTTCTGAACTGAACAGGACGAAGTCCTCAACTGACTTCTGATGGTCCAAATCCTTGCAGAATGCCTACCACACTAGGCACACTTCGCAGGTATTATGCCAAGAACTTAGAGTGGGGCTTTGGTGGTCCAGGTCCCACTTGCCCCAGGTCTCTAGGGACAAAGGTGGGACACAGGGAAATGTTTCCCCAAAGGGAGACTGGAGTTTGCATGGGGTCTTCCCCATGAAGTGGTGGGACTCCCTCCCCTGGAGATGGGGGCACTCTGGGGTAGAACCCAATCCCTTTGCCCCAGTTTACATCCTGAACACCCACCTCTCAAGCCCTGGCATCTTGGATCCCTGAGGCTGAGCATGACAGGTTTGGGACCAAGAGCAGCAAGACAGAGGTGGCAGAGCCCACAGCAGGCCCATCCTCCTTGGGCCCTCCTGCCTTTTTAGGGTGACAGGAGATGACTAAATGGGCAGGCAGAGAAGACAGACACTGCTCCTTCTTGAGATAAGGCTTCCTTTTTGGGTCCATCTAACACCACAGAATTCAGGAACTGCCCCCTTTCCGACATCTTCTCCCGCATGCTTTCCCTGCCTCGCAAGTGGACTTCCTATAATCACTAATCTCTTCTTCATGTGGTTCACCTCATTTTGTCAAGGAGCAAGTCCCAGGACTTCCTGGGTAAAACCCAGGACAATGTCTAATACCAGACTCAAAGTCAATGTAAGAGTTGGGAGAAAATGGGGGCCACAGCTGGAGGTTCTTGCTGCAGCCATCCTAACCTGCAGGTACACAGACCCATCCAAAGGCTTAACGAGAAGCAGTTTACCTTGTGTCAGATATCTCCTGCTTCCTATACTTTATGGGGCTTGGGTCTTTCATTCTCTGCTTTGTAGAACTTTGATGCAACAGCTGCATGTTAGGGGCTGAGGGGTCACAGTTATGGGTCATGATTCACTTAACCTAATATACATCTGAATTGTGTGCATACAGGTCCCAAGAAGGCTGAGAACACAACCCCTTCAGGCCTGTCTGTTCACAGCAATGTAGCAGTAATGGGGTGAGTGTCGCTCCCTTTGCCTGGATCACCCTTTCTTGACAGTCACCTGGCTTGATCCCATAGCTCCTAGAGGTCTTGGCTCAAATATCTTTCACAAGGAGGCCTACCTTGGTCACTCTATTAAAAGTGTCAACACCAGCTGAAATTCTGCCTTATTTGTCTGCAATCATTTATCACCAACTGACATGCCATATATATTTGTTTATTATCTGTCTCCTTATTTGAATGTCAGCTTTAGGTGTGTGTGTGTTGTTGGGTTTTTTTGGTTTTGTTTGTTTGTTTGTTTTTCCCTATTTGGTTCAATGCTGTGTTCCCAGCACTTAAAATAGTGCTTGGCACAGATTTCAACCTTATGCAGCAGTAATAATCATAGTAACAATAACCTTTTAGGGCTCTTCCCACAACGGGACCAGCATAACATATTTCCCCTTACACTGCATGCAGTGTTCTCATAGGTCTCATAGGTCTTGGCATAATTCTCAGCCAGGGCCTTCTGCCCCAGGGGTAATGGCAGGTGCTCAGATGCTCTGCTTTGGTCCCCAGCCCCCTCCTGAAAGCCTCTAACCCACACCATCCCCCAGCAGGCAGGAACGGCCCCGGGTCTGCAGGTAAGTGTGTCACTGACACTGGGTACCCAGAGCTGGGTGCGCAAACCTATCCTGGTCAGGGTCATGAGTCTGGGGAACCCCCACCTTGCTGACACTGGTGGTCTCTGAAGAACTTCAAGAGTCTTCTCAGCTAGCAGGGTGGCTAGACAGTACAGGCTCTAGAGGCAGGCAGCCAGGGTTCTCACCCTAGCTTCGCTCCTGAGCTAGCTGTATGAGTCTGGCAGACCAACCGCAGTTCTGTGTCTCACTTTCCCACCCGGTAACACAAGTATGGGATCCACACCCACCTCACATAGGCGTTGTAAGAATTAACTGAAACGATCTCATAAAACCTAGCTTAAAACCAGAGCTCAGGAACTGTGAGTTTATGATGCTGGTTCCAAATGAGGTCACGCTGGAAGGTTTTGCCTACTTATGGCTGAATACAACCACATCCTAAGAACCCTCGTCAGACCACAGGGTCCACTTTGGGAGTGAGATTCATCCTGAGAGGCCCTGAGATCAGCTAGGTCCTGGTTAGCAGTCTCTCCCACCCTCCCCCAGTTCTAGAATGTGACAGAATTAATGATGGCGGAAAGTGTCCAAAGATGGTTTCAATGAAGTGTTTAGACAACCGCCTAAGGGTCACATTGCCCAGCCCTGTAACGGAAGGATCATCTGCAGAGTAGGGGTCAGAGAGGGGAGTGTGGAAAGGTCACCCTGTGACCCTATTACAGAGGTGGGGGCAGTTGGTACTTCACTTTGGGAAACCTTTGGGTGATAAAAGCTACTCCTAAGCAGCCATTTTCAAAACAGAAGTCACGTGGCCAAAGCGAGCCTCCGAGCGCCCCCAAACCGCAGCCCCTGGCCCTTCCCAGGAGCGCCCAGCTGACTTACCGAAGAGCAGCGGCTTGAGGCTGAGGGTTCGGATGAAGTGATCCCTGTCGGCGACCAGCTGGACCTTACGCTCGTGCCCCACCTAAGGGAAAGGGGCACTGCGGGCAGCTCGGGCCCCAGGCCGCGCCGCCTGAGGAGGGTACAGGCGCCGGGGCCCCGAGGGCGACGAGTTGGGGATGAGGGTGCGCGCGGGGCAGACGACGCAGGGAGCAGCGTGGAGGTCGTGGGCTGCGCGTGGGCCGTCACGGGCTCGCCGTGCAGGGCCTGGAACCCGGCGAGACGGGGGTCCTCACCTTGATGCCCTCCAGCCGGGCGAGGGGACCCAGGGTCGGCGCGGGCCCGGGGCCCTGGGCGCGGTGCTGGGGCCCGGGGTCGCTGCTCTCGTCCCCGTTGCTGTAGTGCACGAAGAGCAGCAGCGCCAGCACGTTGCCCAGGTACAGGTGCACGAACACCATCAGCACCAGGAAGTAGGCGCGCGAGCAGATGCCGCGGGGCTTGCACAGCGGCCGGACTGGCGCGTCCTCGCAGTCGCCCAGGCCGGCGGCGGTACCGGCCCGCTCGTGTCCAGGCGGCGCCCACTGCGGACTCACCGCCTCCGGTCTCGGGGCCGCCGCCGCCGCCGCCATGGCGCCCAGGTCGCGCGCACGCCCAGGGGAGGGGCGGCGGGGATGCCCGCGCCGCGCCGCGCCGCGCCGTCGCCTGGACAACCGCTGCGGAGCCCGCGCGCGCCGCGGTCTCTAGGAGACCGTGCCTGGGGATGCTGCAACCGCCAGGGCCGCCCGCGCCCGCCCCTGCGCGGCGCTCCGTCTCCGTTGCGGCCTGGACCCGGGTCCACGCTGGAGTTTCTCTTCCCGGGGTGGGTTACTGTCAGGAGGAGATGCTCGCACCCCAGGGCGGAAGCCGGCCCCTCCCCCACGCGCAATGCTGGGACACACAAGAGCAGCACCATTAAAGGAAACCCCATTGGTACTTTCTCCGTCCCCTAGTTAAGATGCACTTCCCTTTTCCTGGAAAAGTATGCCCTGCATTTTCTTGTTCCCGAGAGTGGGGTGACAGCGACGAGGCACTGCCGAAAGATGACTCAATTACGCGGCGGTCTGGGGCCGCCGCGGAGGCCGACGACTGCGCATGTGATCCTGTAGGCCCCGCAGCTTTCGGCACTGTTGCTCGCCAGCTTAGACGGCCAAGAATGCCTTGAAGTTCCGCTCTGCG